TTTATTCTTTCATACAATTCAATCATAAATAAATTCACTATGATGCAATTAGAATAATTAAATGCTAAAAAATTAAAGTGAAAAAAGTGAAGTGTTTTTTTATATATTTTATTTTTTTTGACATGTAACACAAGTTCACTTACTAACTCAAACTGTTAATATTTAGAATTTAGTTTACAGATGAATATGTACAAAATATTTTATGTTGTGATTTACAAAATGCATTTTACAATTAGAACATTGCATGCAATTGCATTATTTCGTAATTATTATCAAATCTTTCTTATTAAACATACACTATAAATATTAAAATGTTATCAATCTTGTTATCCACATCTAGAATATTATTTACTTTAAAATTGTAGAAATACATACAGACTTGACAAACTACTTTCGCCAAAAACCGCATTCTAAAAATGAATGTGGGTTTCCTAAAATAAATTAAAAGAGCATTATGGGAAAACATAAATTTGTCATCCCTTTGAATGCTACTATTTTTACCGCTAAAATTTTACAAACTCGTAATCAAATTTTTTGAAAAAAAAAAAACATTAAAAAATGTATGCAATTTTGTGGAAGATGACAAACGTTTATGTCCAATTATGTGGATTTAATAGTAAATAGCTTAATATTTCACAAAAGCAGGAACATTAACAAAAGTTTGTTGTTACCCAAATAGGTAGAAGGCCATGATCGAGTTAATACTAACCAAAAACATACACGTTTCATAATATTGCATGTCTAATTCTGAAATGAAGTTTGTTTGTAATACTGATTTCTTGTACTTAATGTTAAAGTATACGTATTACGTGCTAGTGGCATCAGAGTACCAATAAATTAAAATACATTTGTATTGATATTAGCAAAAAAATGTTCGTTTGTTTGTATTGCGTAATCTTGAATTACCCAATAAACAGCTGTAGAATCACGAACCAGTAGTGATTCATGCTTGTGTCACTACTATCGCAAATTTAATATAACTTCTACTTACACAATTGCACATTATCAAGTAGGTTAGTCTCAACAAACAATTGACAGTTATGATTGTATTCATTCAGTATCCAGGGAATAAAATAGCTAGGTGATTACATTATTAGATCTCATGAAAATCGATTACAAAAACAAGGTTATTGAAAACCATTTGTATATGAAATGATATGTCCATGAAACAAACAAATTATATCAATGGAAATAATCCACAAGAAGAATACACAATTTAGATCACCAACAGATTAAATATGCTAGTAGCAGAACATGAATTTGAGAGCCTACAGATGAGGTAATTGTTGAATGTAAATCGGATAAATATAACAATTTAAGACCACAAACATTTTGAGGTGAAGGCATTATCATTGGCTTAGCCTATGATGGCAGATAGCTATGGTCATTACAAGGAGGTATTTCAATAATGAGATGAAAAGCTATATAGTGACATTACTTATACAATTAGTGTTACAATGATTTGAACAAACTCATTTCAATATACAACAGAAACAAAGTAAGTTTACCTAAATGAGCAAAATATAATCATTTAATATCAATATTTGTTCTAATAAATGACAATAAATATTCAGATTATTTGCAATCACAACAGCGATACATACCATTTCTCAATGTATACCAATGGACACAAATCGGATTCAGCACCTTAAATTTTATTGAACAAACATAAAATGTTTTAGCTTCATAATTGAATCATTATGCCAGATTGGCAAATAAAGGAACAGAAGTTTTATCGTTTGTTTAAACAAGCAAATGTTGTACCGGTATTTAAAATGTGACGACAAAACTGAAGTTATAAATTATAGACCTATATCTCTATTCGTTTTTGAAAAAGTAATATTTGATCATATTTTCAACCACATTTCAGAATATCAACAACAAACATCGATATACAGCAACTAACTTTGTGTTGTACATAGACTTCATAACAGAATGTTTTGATAAGAAAATTCAGGTTGACAGTGTTTATACTGCTGTCGAAAAGCTTTTGACTCAGTAAATCACAGACTCGCTATATACAAACTTAAACACTATGGTACCTCGAATAGAGTTTTGCATCCACTTTCTTCTTCTATGAGCATACGCAAACATAAGGTAGTTATTGACCATGTTCTGACTGGTCAATAATTGTCTCGGGGGTATCCCAGGGCTCCCTAACATATACATAAATGATTTGCCAAATGTATGTAATACATCGTCATGCCTGCTATATGCAGACCATGCTAAAATTTACAAGCCAGTGAAAAATATATCTGAATGCAGGCAATTGCAGACAGATATAAATAATATATCTGAATGCAGGTAATTGCAGATAGATGTAAATAATACTTTTCTATGGTGTCAACGCTGAAAATTGAAGTTAAATTTCAACAAATGTTGTGTAATATGTTTTTCTAACAAATAAATTATCAATTTTGATTTAATTATTATGTCACTGTCTAGGGTCGATTCAGTCAATGACCTCGACGTCTTATTAAAATCAAACACGTTTTTTAAAGA